TTTAACCAAAATTTACTTTAAAAACAATATGAAGCCCTTTTAGTCCCTTCGATTTATAATTTACTCATAAAAATAAATGTGTTATACGACACAGTGGCACTCTAGTGCAGGGTGGGAGAGGGGAGTGGACATGACGGACGTCCCTGCTCCAGGGGTTTGTGCTGTGGGAGAGGCGACTCCTCCACATCCACCATCTGACCCAGGTTGTGCCAGGTCCAGACCCCTGTTGGACTTGGAAATTCCATCAGACAGGCCACCCTACCTTGGCCCAAAGCAAGGAGAGCAGTTCCAAGTCTGATCTAGAAATATGCGTAAACAAAAATCAATCCCCCTGCATGGGATACCCTTTGAGGATGTTGAAGCTGGACTGGGTGATGTTTCTTTTCTCCCCTCCCCTCCCCTCCCCTCCCTTCCTTCTCTGTTGCCCCAGAATCTCCTGTATCTACAACATGAAAAAATGGTCACAATAAAAATGCTGATCATTATAATGGAAACAAGTGTGCTGTAAACTTACTTAATAAAAAATAAAAATAATTAAATAAAAATTTAATAAAATTTTTAATTTTAGTAAATAAAAGTAGTAAGTGCTCAAATATATAGCTATGGGCTAGGCATTGTGACACTACATTTACTCCTGAAGAGTATGCCAAAAAGTGGCAGGAAACATCACTTGATGAACACAAATATTTAGCACCTTGCTGGGTAAATACAACTTGGCAAATGGTACAACTGCGCTGGATTATCTATTGCAGTGGCCAACAGTTTCCTGTATAGGGCCAAATGGGAACTATTTTAGGCCTTGTAGTCCATAGGGCTTCTGTCACAACCACTCAACCCTGTGGTTGTAGCACCAATGCAGTTATAGATAACACCAACATGAAGAGCCTGGCTGTGGTCTAACAAATAGACCACCAGTCAACTGGATTATCAGTCAACAACAATGCATCTTGTCTTAAAAAATTTCTACCAATGTATTATCTGAGAAAACATTTTAAATCTCTCATTTCTTTCTTATTAAAATTTCAAAAATTCTTCTTAGGTTTGACCAATAATTCATGTTCATACTTTCTCTCTATGTGATTTTTGGTGTTTTAAAGCAGTCATCTAAGGACAAAAAGAGTCCCAAAACAAATGTCACATGGGGATGATATTACAGGGGGACTAAGTTTGGGTATAAAATTGCATTCTTGAACACCGCACTGGTAGATCACCAGCCTAACTATACTACAATTGCATGGGACTAGCAACCATCAGTTATCAGGTTGCTGAATTGGTATACAAACTGCACATCAATTATGTTATCTAAATTTAGATTGTATATAGAACCTAATCAGGCCGAGTCCATATCATGAGGCCCATTTGTTATTTTACATTGCAAAGGTGCTAAAGAATATATATATATATATAATAATACAAAGGTTTATAAGAATCCTATTAGCTAGTAAAATGCCAGGCTAGTGCCTAGTCTGGTCGTTTTTTACTAAAGGATTTTGTCAAAGCAGATACACTGATGGCCTCTATTCTTTACAAAATAGGTGGAGAGGGAGGCAAATGACCATCCTGATCAAACTGCAATGACAGCAATTTTAGCTGCAGTTATGACGTAAGCAGAGATCAAATAGCTGAGGTGCTTTTATCTTGCTCCAAGGTAGTGATGGGAGGAAGGTATGGTTAGGGAAGCCAGGCAGCTGCGAAGTGAAGCACAATTTCACATGGTGGATTAGGGTAACCAGAACATTATGTTTATGGGCATCTCCTTTCAGCTGAGGTGAGAGACTCAGATCAGTGAGAACATTCAGACTGAATTTACAAGAACTGGTACAACTGGACCAAATGATGAATGTCCACAAAGCCACAGGCACCTGGCTTTCAGGCTTGTTTAACATGCATGCCTGCCAATATTTTCTTGGAACTCTGAAATTGTTTTCTTGATTTTTAAAGTCTAATTTATCCTGAGTGCTATTGAAGGCCAAAATAAATGTATAAAAAAGAGGACTCAATATATTTGCCTTCTTTCCATTCTCATATACATAATATTTAGCTTTCTTCTCATGTGCTTTAAATAGTATTTACCATGATCAATTTTTGATAAGCATTTGCTAAATTGTAATTAATTTCAAGTTAGGTATAGCCTTCTGTAAGAAAAAAATAAAACTTTAAACTTGTAAAACATATAGATCAGAAAATAATTATTCTAAGTATTGACTTATTTCCTTTACAAAGGCTTCACAAGATTCCTTTGACTAATGATCTCCCCTACAGCATTTAGAATTAAAAATTCAACTTACCTTTATCTTATATTTGAATACCATCTACAGATTTTTATACTGTACCCCAAATCTGTTTCTATCAACCACTTCAAGTGGAATTAATACTTGTATTCTAAAGTGAGGTTTAGTAAAAAGGCTCAATTATAACCATTATTTTTAACTAATCACACATTACAGTTCTTGTCAAAAGTTGCCTCCAAAACATGTTACCACAATCAAAAACAAATACAATTATTCTACACCAGGAAAAAAATATTTTTTTAATGTATGTTACAAGCCACAAAATTCACTTGGAATTGTCAGTCTAACTATGGCTATTTTTTATTCCTTTTTTATTATTATTGTGCCAAGATTTTTATTGAGCTAATGTTTCATACAATAAAATTCTTCATTTCAAACAGAAAATTTTATTTTTAGCAACTGTATACAGAACACACATCAAGGTATGGAACAGTCATTACCGATAGAAGTTTCCTCATGCTCTCTGATCCCATCTCCTGACCCCAGCTTCAAAACAATCACCAATCTTCCTTCTCTCACTCTAATTTTGCATCTATCTGTGGCTTTAATTTGCCTTCCATGATAACCAATGACCTTGATTATCTTTTCATATGTACATTAACCACTGCCTATTATATTCTTTAGTGAAGCATCTACTCAAGTCATTACAATTTTAAGAGTTTCTTACATATTCTTACATGTAAGTCCTTGATGTATGTATTGCAGTATTTTCTCCCAGTCAGTGGCTTGTATGCAATGTTTTCTCAAGGCTTGTTGATTTCCTTAATAGCGGCTTTAATATTTTTCAGAATGCAACATTTGCACCATGTCAATGTTTGTTTTCTTTGCTGTTTTTTCTTATCATTGGACTCCTCCTCTTCCTGTTTCTTTTCATATGTAGTGAATTTTGACTGTATGTCACACATTACAAAAAATATTTTAGAGAATCTGTTTCATATCTTTCTTGGGAGAATGGACTTCTGTTCTAGCAGGCATTTTGATTACTTACTGATTACTTTCAACTTATATATTCTTGGTTTTATGCTTTCTTAGTATGAATCTGTGGAAAGCCCAAGGTGTTTCTCAAGCCATTCTAATCTGGCAAACTCTGTCTCCATTGCTAGTCTTGTTGAGGCTTGATTTCATTTCATGCTCAGGGATGTGGACATTTGTTAACAGTCCGAGTGCTGAAACAAGAACGCAGTATCATCTTGTTCAACCACAGCTAGAACCATGCATGTTGGATGACTCAAATTTTTCCCACTCTGTGCATGTGTGAGAAAAAGGGTCTAAAGTACTGACTTTGCAGTTACAAATAAATTTTAGCAAGTAAGCACATTTGCAAATACAGAATCTATAGATACTGAATACCAACTATGTATATATTTTTAGCACGATGCAACCAGGTAGTATAATAAAAACATGTTGCACTTTAAAGAGGTTAAGTTTCAATTAACTACTTTGATGGAAATTTTGCCTAAATATGTTATACGTGTTTCCTAAACAAGATTATCAAAGATAACCTTTCTTCCTGATACAGGGGCATCATTATAAATTAAAGAGTGCTAAAATCCAATGACTTTTATAGTTTTAGGTATGTAAATTAGATACAGATTAATTATATAGATAGGCTGTAAATTTACCTATACAAAATTTAGATATATAAACTAGATACAGATTTAAAAGCCCAGTTAGCAACAACTCTGGGGGCCTCTGCTTTGTTTTTTGCTCCTTCCTAGTGTTAGGCTGAAGGAAGGAAAAACAAGGACATGTAAACAGAACAAAGAGATGCCATAGGGGGAGAACAGACCAGACCCCAAGGTCCGTGCCTTATATGGAAAGGGGACAGCTCTTCCTGAATTCCATCCTTCTGATGTGCCAACTAAGACCCTGATGTCAGCCTCCTCCTTCTTGGAAGGAAAAAAGTTTCTAGTTGTCTATTATGTCACCTTTAGCCAATCATACCTCTCCACGCCCCCTAGGATAGCTTACCCACTCCTCCCCCCTCATAAACCCTTATAAGCCCCCACCTCCCTGACCGGGTGTGACTTCACCCGCCTGTAATACCCAGACCACGGAACATCACCTGGGAGTGGCATTCAAATAAACTACCTGGCCCTTTGTTGCCTCTCTTCGCCTGCTTATTTCGGCTAAAATTTATCTTACACCTAGTATGTTTTCAAACCAAAGGTCAATATACCTTAGATGTATGATCTTGAAGAAGTAAACTTTATGGGTCTCAGTTTTCTCATCTTTAAAATAAAGAAAATGTATTTTTAAGATGTCTCTAGGTCTAAAATTCTATCTCTTCTAGATATCAGTGTTTTTTGGCTTTGAAATGCTATCTTCTATGCCTTTCTGCTTCTGACGTTATGTGTCTGGAAAACAAACAACAACTCTATTTTATTATTTAAAAAATCCAATTAAAAACTTGAAATATGTTCTAAATTATGTGCGTACATATAATGGCATAGGACAGCTGTCCACACTTATTCCCTGGATCTTAGCTATAATCCAACAGATATGTAAAATTAGTTGTATCTCCTAATACATACAATAAAAAGAATTCTTAAGATCCTGGTAAATATAGTAAGCCAAATGATCTGACCTATCATATCTATGCATACAAAAGAAACAAATACAACACATCTTTCCTCACTGATTCTATGCCTGGGATAATAAGGAAATACATCCAGGTTGAAAAGAAGCTACTATAAAAAAGCTGACAAGTAAATTTATTAAGATTTATTTATTCAATTAAAATTTTACTATGTATAAAATTTATACAGAGGGATTTAACACATAGTAATATATACAGTTATCTTTAGAAAGTCAGGATGCAAGTTATAATGATTATGAATATAAAACATTCTGCATAAGAGATTTATTTAGCCATTTTACTTCGAAGTCGTCGTTTGAGAATCTCATGATCACTGATCTTCATTTGGTGGTCCATCAAAATCTGAAATAAACAATTTGACAATTTTTTCAAAAATGAGAAACAAATGAAAACTTACTTATAATGAATAAGATATATTCATGAGCTTACTAATTGAATAATAATAGGTACATTATAATACATTTTGTCTTCTTGAACTGTATGTAGGTGTACTATCTAACATAAAGCACATGCTAAACAGGTGAATTCTACCAAACATTTAGAGTTAATACTTATCCTCAAACTATTCCAATAAAACTTCAGAGAAAGGAATGCTTCCAAATTTATTTGATACGGCCAGAATTACCCTGATACTAAAACCAGACCAAAAAAACTACAAAAAAAAAATTTACACACAAATATCCCTTGATGGCCATAGATGCAACCATGCTCAACAAAATATTATCAAATGGAATTCAACAATAAATTAAAAGGATCATTCACCACTATCAAGTGGGATATATTCCAGGAATGCAAGGACCGTTCAATATGTACAAACTGATCAACCACGTTAACATAATGAAAGACAAAAATCACCTAATCATCTCAATACACAAAGAAAAGGCATTTGGCCAAATCCAACATCCACTCATGATAAAAACTCTCAACAAAGAGGGTGTAGGAAGAACATGCCTCAACATAATAAAGGTTATTCATACCCAATGGTAAATAGACCTAATTTTTACCTCTAAGATCAGGAAAAAAATAAGGATATTCATTCTCACCATTTTATTCAACATAGTACTGCATGTAAGTCCTAGCCATAGAAATTGGTCAAGAAAAGAAATCAAGGCATCCAAATCAGAAGAAAATAAAACTGTCCATTTGAAGATAATGTGATCTTACATATAGAAAATCCTAAAGACTCCACCAGAAACTATTAGAATAAAAGAATTCTGTAGAGTTGCAGGATACAAAATCAAGATATAAAATCTTTTGTTTCCATATATTAACTATCAGGAAGAGAAATTATTTAAAGATCAAATTTATACTAGCATCAGAAAGAATAAAGTACTTAGGAAAAATTTTAACTAAGGATATGAAAGATCTGTACATCGAAAACTACAAAACACTGGCAAAAGAAATTGGAAAAGCCACAAATAAATGAAAGCTATTCAGTGTTCATGGATTAGAATATTGTTTAAATGTCTATGCCACCCAAAACAATCTACAGATTCAATACAATCCCTATCAAAATATCAATAGATGTGGGGGAGGAAGATGGTGGCAGGAGAAATAAGGGAGAAATCTCCTCCCGAAACTACATGTAACCCAAAAATACAGCAAATACAACTAATACTGAAAGAGTGAACCAAAGACTGCAGATGAGACTGCCTATATCTGAGGAAAAGAGAAGACCTCATAGAAAATGATAAAGCAGCAAAGCCATGATCTGGTGGGGCCCAAAACCTCTGCCCACCCCAGCTCACATGCAGGAGGAAGAGAAAAAGAGCAGGGAGGGAGTAGAAGCCCAGGACCACTAAATACCCACCCCTGGAGATCTGCTCCAGGAGCACGAACCCACATCACATGGTGCACTGAAGATTAGAGGGGTTGGAAAGCAAAGACAGAATACTTGGAGAGACTGAGATTCCGGCCACTTGTGGAGTATAGGAACCCACAACCAGCTGCTCCAGGACAAAAGAAAGGTGGGCACTTTGGAAGACTTTCCAACAGCACGTGGGATGCAAAAGGGGAAAGGGTTACACAGAACTTGCTGGGAAATTCCAGGATCTTCAGACACTCCATCCCCCTGGCTGGCAATGCAGCACTGAGGCCCCCCACTGTGATATGCAGCCTGCCACTCCTTCCTCCCAGTAAGCACCGGTCCACACATCGACTGCCCCTGCCATCGTGCCAGGACAGCTAGAGGGTGGCCCTGCCTAGGGCAGCTATATAACAAAAAGGCTCCAACCTAAGCGCTTGGCCCACTGGGCCTGGCAGTGGAGACAGGTACTACAGTCAGAAAGCAGGAAAGAGCTCTTTCCTCCTGGCAGGCACCAGCACCACACACCTAGGACCCCCGCCACCGCTCCAGGTGCTGGGCAACTCTGGAGAGGAGAGCTTCCTGGCACTAGAGGGCAATGCCTACAGAAAGTTATTATTCCATATTGTTCGGTAGGAATATGGAAAGGCAAAAGAACCTTGTTCAAATGAAATCATTCAAACCAGAAAGAGGGCTCAGTGAAACTGAAATCACCAATCTTCTTCATAAAGATTTCAAAATAAAAATTATAAACATGCTCACAGAGTTACAGAACAATATTGAAGATCTTAATAACGACTTCAAGAAAGAGACAAACTTTGAAAAATACAGTATCTGAAATGAAATATACAATTGAGGGATTTAAAAGAGTAGATGGTAGAGGAGACTATAAATGGAATGGAAATTAGAGAACAGAAAAACAAAGAAAGTGGGGCACAGAGAGATAAAAGGATCTCTAGGAATGAATGACTATTAAGAGAACTGTGTGATCAATTCAAAAGGAAAAATATTCACATTATAGGGGTACAAGAAGAAGAAGAGAGAGAAAAAGGAATAGAAAGTCTCTTTGAGGAAATAATTGCTGAAAACTTCCCCAATCTAGGGAAGGAAACAGTCTCACAGGTCATGAAAGTGCAGAGATCTCCCAACATAAGGGATGCTAGGAAGACAACACCAAGACATATAATAAATAAAATGGCAAAGATCAAAGACAAGGAGTGAATACTAAAAGCAGCCGGAGAGAGAAAAAAGATCACCTACAAAGGAAAGTCCATCAGGCTATCATCAGACTCTCAGCAGAAACCTTACACGCCAGAAGGGAGTGGCATGATTATGTTTAATGCAATGAAACAGAAGGGCCTCCAACCAAGAATACACTACCCGGCAAAATTATCATTTAACTTTGAAGCAGGGATTAAACAATTTCCACATAAGCAAAAAGTGAGGGAATTTATCTCCCACAAAAAGTCCTTACAGTGTATTTTAAAGGGATTGCTCTAGATAAAAGTGCTCCTAGAGCTAAATAGCTGTCACCAGAGTAAATAAAACCACAGTAAAGAAAGTAAACCAAGGAATTACTAAGCAAATGCAAAATTAAATCAGCTACCCAAAAGTCAGTCAAGGGATACACAAAGAGCACAGAATATGACACCTAACATGTAACGAATGGAGGAGGAAGAAAAAGAAAGAAAAAAAAAAGAATCTTCAGATTATGTCTATAATAGTGTAATAAGCAACTTAAGTAAGACTGTTAGATAGTAAAGAAGTTGCCCTTGAACCTTTAGTAACCACAAATCAGATGTCTGCAATGGCAATAAGTACATTTCTACTGACAATCACCCTAAATGTAAATAGACTGAATGCACCAATCAAAAGACAGAGTCACTGAATGGATAAAAAAGCAAGACCCTTGCTGGGTGCGGTGGCGCTACTCAGGAGGCTGAGGCAGGAGGATCACCAGAGCCCAGTTCTGGGCTGTAGTGTGCTATGCCGATCGGGTGTCCGTACTAAGTTCGGCATCAATATGGTGACCTCCCGGGAGCAAGAGACTACCAGGTTGCCTAAGTAGGGAAGAACCAGCCCAGGTCGGAAACGGAGCAGGTCAAACTCCCGTGATGATCAGTAGTGGGATCGCGCCTGTTAATAGCCACTGCACTCCAGCCTGGGCAACATAGCGAGACCCCATCTCTAAAAAAAGCAAGACCCATCTACATGCTGCCTACAAGAGACTCAATTCAAACCTAGAGATATACACAGACTAAAAGTGAAGGGATGGAAAAAGATATTTCATGCAAATACTAGGAAGAAAAAAGCAGGAGTGGCAGTACCTGTATCACATAGTAAAGTCACAAGAGACAAATAAGGACATTAAATAATGATAAAGGGGTCAGTCCAACCAAAGGACATAACCATTGTAAATATCTATGCACCCAACATAGGAACACTGAACTATGTGAAACAAATACTAACAGAATTAAAGGGGGAAATAGAATGTAATGCATTCATTTTAGGAGACTTCAACACACCACTCACTCCAAAGAATGGATCAACCACACAGATATTGAGACAAAGGCACTGAACAACACTTTAGAATAGATGGACCTCACAGACATCTACACAACACTCCACCAATTAGTCAGGATACATATTTTTCTCAAGTGCACATGGAACATTTTCAAGAAGAGATCATATACTAGGCCACAAAAAGAGCCTCAGTAAAATAAGAAGGATTGAAATTGTACTAACCAGCTTCTCAGACCACAAAGGTATGAAACTAGAAATGAATTATGCAAAGAAAACAAAAAGCCCACAAACACATGGAGGCTTAACAACATGCTTCTAAATAATCAATGGATCAATGACTAAATAAAAACACATCAAGCAATATATGGAGACAAATGAAAACAAAAAACTTAACACCCCAAAACCTAGGGGAAGAAGAGAAGGCAGTTCTAAGAGGAAAGTATACTGCAGTACAGGCTTATCTCAAAAAAGAAGAACAATCCCAAATGAACAGTCTAAACACACAATTAATGAAACTAGAAAAAGAACAAATGAGGCCCCAAGTCAGTAGAAGGAGGGACATATCAAAGATCAGAGCAGAAATAAATAAAATTGAGGTTCATAAAACAATAGAATCAATGAAACCAGGAGCTGGTTCTTTGAGAAAATAAAACAGTTAAACCTCTAACCAGACTTATCAAGAAAAAAAGAGAGTCTGCGCACATAAACAGAATCAGAAATGAGAAAGGAAAAATCACTACTAACAACACAGAAATACAAAGAACTATTAGAGAATATTATGAAAAATCATATGCCAACAAATTGGATAACCTAGAAGAAATTGACAACTTTCTAGAAAAATATAACCTTCCAAGACTAACCCAGGAAGAAACAGAAAGTCTGAACAGACCAATTACCAGCAATGAAACTGAATTGGTAATCAAAAAACTACCTAAGAACAAAACAACTGCACCCGATGGCTTCGCCGCTTTATTTTATCAAATTTAGTGAATATCTACTACCCATCCTCCCCTTC